TTAACGTTTTGTTTTGTGTTCATTAAAGTGTTTTTCCTTAATCTTCTGTGTGGTACCGGTTTTCTCGGGGAAATCGGATATCCTTAGCTGGATACTTAATAAGTGTTTTCCCTACAATAGTAATTTAGAACTACTTAACTATCAACAGCAAGAGGATATAGTCATGATAAATAAATCAATAAGTGTAATATATAAGGTTGGCAAGGACATAAACGCTAACATAGGAATTATCAACGGGAGTTTGTTAAATATGGCAAAAACTTTGAATAACCAAAACATCAAATTTAATCTCTTCGAAGGAATAACCACGCTTATTATACAGGGACAAAATTTTCTCGATTTGTTAGGCAAAATAAAAAGATCTTTCATCTTTTYGGRACAATTATTCGATTTGGAAATACTTACATACGAACAAATGTCAAATATTCGTGCACACCTTTTGGGTATTCATTCTTATAAGGAGCTTATGTTACATTATCATAGCTTGTTAGATTTTCGCTTTACTAGGGGAACAATCGTATTTACCCAAGACTTCATTATATATGCCCTTAAAATTCCTATCCTAAATCCCATTGAATTCGCCTTAATTCAAAGACTTGCTATTATMAATAATAATAATCAAACGGAAATTATTACCACACCTTGGACTTTAATTGGACCTACAATCAAGCTATATGCAAARGAATGTCGGCTCGTTGATAAAGAAGTACACTTATGTCAACAAATAACAGCCGTCGGAACGGGGCCGATCATTGTGGGTGTGGGCTCCTCACTGTTGCTCGTTTACAAATTAACCGAGAATTCAACGTTAATATCAAGCAACTACTATATAAGGATTAAGTATGGTAACAACGRGAMCATAATCAGGGGGACACATTTGGTACAAGGGGGTAACCTACAAATCCAAGRGTACGAACTCGACAAGGATTTCGGAGAAGCAAAGCAAATTAATCTTTTACAACCTMTCATAATCAGGAATCATCAACTGAATTTCGAACCGCTGAAAAGTTTGGTAGTACCCACAATAACTACCCCAAAATTCATAACTCCTAATAAATCATTCGGATTGGAATTTCATACATCGATAACCTCGATTGTGCTGGTGTTGTTGCTGACATCGGTCATGCTTGTTTACTTGTTGTATAAATGTAAGAACAGGGGGGGGCAGCATGGGGAGAGGCAACATACCACGGACGTCAAGGGCGAGGACGTCCTCGAACTTCGGCAGGGAGGAGTCATATGACTCGGCCACCGGGCCTCTGGAATTCCCGGGCGGCTGGCCTCGTTATCAGCGTGGGTAGACTAAACATCCTCCTGGTGCTCGATTACGATGGGGGGAGGGGCAAGGGAAGGTGCTATCCATCGCTGCCTTTGCATCGGCGACGATTCATTCTCTGTCGGGCTTCTTAATTGTAAGGACGTGAATAAATCGGAAGTATTTTAATCAACGCTTTTCGTTCGATTATTTACTTGCCTATCCGAACCAAACAAATTCGTTATCGTTATTTTCTTGCGTGTTTGTAAATCTCTATTTCCGACGCTTGTAACATAACTCACGCTACATCAACTTGCTAACGACGAATCAAGACAACACCCAAGGGCATCCATTATCTTAAAGGAAGATTTTTATGTCGATGATCTATTAACGGGAGCCCATACGATAGACGAGGCTAGACAAATTCGCGACGAGCTCAAAGCGGTAACAAATAAGGCGGGCATGCAGCTAAGACAATGGGCTTCGAACAGCACCGAAGTATTAAAGGGTTTAGATAATAAAAAGGATAACACGTTTATAAGCTTAGACATATCCGCTACGATAAAAACATTAGGAGTACAGTGGAATGCCATGCAGGGTATTATAGGATATTCAGTAAGACATAATGACAATCCCACTAAAATCACCAAGCGCAGTATATTGTCAGAGATTGCACAAATATTCGACCCATTGGGGCTATTGGGGCCCGTTATAATTAAAGCAAAAATGATGATGCAGGAACTATATCAGCTAAAATCGTCATGGGATCAAGAAGTTCCTGACGGTATAGGTAGGACTTGGAAATCATTTCGTCAAAGCTTGCATGAATTGGAACAAGTAAGATTCGCACGTAGAGTGTTAGGCAACAATACGGAACTGGAAATACACGGATTTTGCGACGCAAGCGAAAAGGCGTACGGGGCATGCATATACATCAAAACAATAGGCAAAAAACCAACGGTTGAATTGGTGTGCGCAAAATCAAAGGTGACACCTCTCAAGACACAATCGCTTTCGCGTTTGGAACTGTGTGGCGCGGTCTTACTGGCGCGCCTGTACAGAGCCACTAAGAACGCGCTGCGAAGAATTAAATTTCGTCGTTCGGTGTTTTGGTCAGATTCAACAATAGTTTTGCATTGGCTCAATACACTACCACATTTACTAAAAACGTTTGTAACGCATCGAGTGACAGAGATTTTGGAAAATACCGCTTCAGAGCAATGGCGGCACGTAGCATCTCAATATAACCCGGCTGATTTGATATCGCGCGGCGTAACGCCGACTGATTTCATTAAAAACGAAATCTGGAAGGCAGGACCTTCGTGGCTAATTCAACCAGAATTATACTGGCCACAGCACATAGTAGAAAAAGTAGAAATACCCGATATGAGAAAATTCGTGGCGGTCGCGGCGTCCGACAAGCCGTTCGATTTATATAGGCGATATTCCTCATTCCGAAAATTAAAGCGCATAGTAGCTTACTGCATCAGATTCGCACAGAATGCAAGAGAGTCTAACGTAAACAGGGTTGGCCGTGAATTAGCAGTAAGCGAATTAAAAAACGCAGAAACAATCATAGTCAAATCCGTGAAGAGAGATTTGAAATCATCAAGCAAATCCAATCTGAAAAGGATATTCGCAATTCGATAGTAGCCCTCAGCCCATTCATTGATAATCAAGGAGTTCTAAGAGTTGGCGGGAGATTGAGCAAGGGCAATCTGCCATATGATCAAAGACATGCGGCATTATTACCAAAGATACATGTTATTACTGAACTTATAATACGTGAAAGGCATGAGAAAATCTATCATGGCGGAACACAGGCCACACTTAATGCCGTTCGCGAAAGTTTTTGGCCTCTGAACGGTCGAACACAATTAAAGCGTGTAATAAGCAAATGTACCGTTTGTCGACGTTTGAGACCAATCATGCTCAATTACAAAATGAGCGATTTACCAGCAAGTCGGTTACAACCAAATCGGCCATTCCTCCACACCGGGGTCGACTTTTGTGGACCAATATTCATAAAGGAAAGGCAGCATCGGAATCACGGACGAATCAAAGTATATGTAGCAGTCTTCGTCTGTTTTACCACACAGGCGGTGCATTTAGAAATAGTAAGCGTTTTGACGACAGATTTATTTTTATCTTCATTAAGAAGGTTTATAACTCGCAGGGGGAAATGTCCTGATATCTATTCAGACAATGCAACAAATTTTTTGAGCGCTGCAAATGAAATACAGTCACGCGTTTCTCGACAATTGTCCAACGACGATATTAGGTGGCATTTTATTCCTCCTAGATCACCTCATTTCGGAGGTCTCTGGAACGCTGCAGTAAAATCATTGTACGATCCAAAAGGATCATACGGTAATTAGCGGTATTCTAAATTCGCGCGCGTCCGCCTCCAAAGATTAGGATTCTAGATCGATACTCATTGCGAGCATCGATTTACTACTAGTAACTACCGAAGCGCCCCTCTAGTTACCCCCACCTCTCGCCTCCCCACTTCTCACTCCCAGTCCGTACGCCCTGCTGGGACAGTACAAAAGGACATTCTTTCATTCCATTANACAAAAGGACATTCTTTCATTCCATTATCGGACGCCTGTGAATATATATCGAAATCAAAGGAGTTAAGTTAAATTAGTTAAGGAACGTAAGCGAAGCGAGCGAGAGGTGAGATCTTTCCATTATATACATTTTATATGGACGGTATTTTCCCGCGTGGTAATACCACGTGGTGGACTCTCATTGTTATAATTAAATAACATCCAGGGTTTTTATGCCGCAAGGCTTTTCCCTGACGAGCCAATAAAAAAGGCATTGTTTCTTTGTTTGGCTCAACCACGTGTTTGATTAAGTTTATTCTAATCCCTTCTTCCTCATCCCCAGCAACTAATTACCAGAGGACTTTTCATTGAAGAATCTTTTGGTCACAACATTCTGGTGCAATCCTGTAAGGTGCGAATTCCCGACTTCTGATTTACGAAGCAGTGAATAGACTACCACCACGCCGAGCAAACCGATTAGAGGACAACGAAGTCGAGAAAGTCCGCCATCTTGCGAACATCTTCATCGCCCAGCTTAACCATCATCACGAAAGATCTAGAAACGAGATAAGTAGTTTGAATTATCCGTGTGTGCGCTTATGCGTACACACCTTTATTCATTAACATATATTTCAAGTGAAATTGCGTTCTCGAATCCAGTAGAAGTTTGCAATTTCCAATATCATTATTCATTTATTCATCATTTGGTAAGAAATTGTATATCAAGCTCTGAATCAATATATGAATAACTTAATTATTAATAACAACGGTAGAAACGTATATATTCATGAAATAGTTATTTCTTAACCGCGCGGAAATCGCTTTATCCTTGTACAAATAACGATAACATTTTCGGCGGCCCCACCGTCACGCCGCATTCCTTTATTTGAACGGTCGACTAGAAATCGAAGACGCCCTGACGTGTAGAGGGTTTCCCTATAGTAAAAATAAAACTAGACTGAATTTTCTTTGCGACTTGCTTTTCTTTATTGTACATTTATCAACGGCTACGTACAGACTAGTAACTACTTCCTGTTAGCGTGATTCCCTAGCCTTCTAGTAACTTTAGAGGGCGCGATCTTCGATCGTACCGCCCCAGACGTTGTAGCGGACGCGTATCTACAGTCACGCCTCTACAGACCGCTCATACAACTACACTCAAATGACAAAACAGACCAACAACTCATAAAACAAAAGAGAACAATAGCAAATACCATTAAACAGTTACCTAAAACAGTCGATAAAAAATGACAAAACAAAAATAGCTTGGACACCTGAAGCCAGTAAAGCATTCATAGAATGCAAACAAAAAATAGCAAACACAACTTTACTCGCCTATCCATCTCCAATTGCACCAATGGCCCTCACTACTGACGCGTCATCATCAGCAATAGGAGCAAAACTGGAACCACTCGTCAACGATATCTGGCAACCATTGGGTTTTTTCCCACGAAAACTCAGTGAGACAGAAAAACGCTACAGCACTTACGACCGTGAGTTATTAGCAATTTTCACCGCTATTAAATTTTTTTATTATCTTTCAGACTGCCGAAATTTCATCATAAAAACGGACCACAAACCACTAATCTATGCTTTCAAGCAAAAGCTCGACAAATCATCAGAACGACAAATCAGGCAACTAGATTACATATCTCAATTTTCTACGGACATAGTACACGT